TATGGATCTACTACAAAAGTATCCTCATTAATTCTGACAAATATTGTGTTTGGTTGTTTTGCTGATTGCTATCTTCTTAAAGAATTAATCGAGATAAATTCAAAGTTGATTTAATCTGCAAAAGTAGGTGTCATCTTTGTCAAAGTAATTGGAGTTTAGGATGTTGCTAAGCCAACTCCAAATAAATTATCTATCTTTTCCTATTACACATTCTCATCTACTTTCATTGTATATTTCAATCATACACTTAATGAAGTCTTTCTCATTACAAATGAATAAGTCTTTCTCCATATCAGTGATAAATAAATTAAGAATGCTATTATTAAATAAAGGATCTCTCGGCCATGCCATGTCAAATACTACTATGGCCTGAATATCCTCTAAATTAATAGACACTTCCCTTTCTCCGCTCAAAATATATCCTTTATATTCACTCGTATCACAAAATACCAAACACCCTGGTTTTGTTTTGTTTAACAATTTTCCAAAGATTAAATTTAATTTAGAATCATCAGAATGCAAAATTGCGCAAAAATCACCTATTTCACAATTATTAATATAATAGGAAGTAGTTATTTAAAAACCAAAATGAAATTCAAGACATGTGTACCCTATATATTTATTTAAGTTACAGACTTTCTCTAAGACAAATCCATCATTAGATTTCAAAATCTATCTAGCATTTGAATTAAGAATTTCATTTAAATTCTTTTTATATTTGATAGAATTCAAAAGACAATTAAATCTGATATAAAAAATGTTGTTGAATATTTCATTCATAAATGAATTTTTTAAATAATTAAATAAATCCGTTGTGAAATAACAATGAAGTTGATTTAAAATATACCAAATGCCTTCAAATTCTTTTAGTCTCACTTCATTGTTTTTTATTGACATCACTCTCAAAATCTCTCCTGAAAATATAGATTATAATTGAGAATGATCCACTGAAAATGTTACTATTTTGTATAAGTGGCGGGTCATTTCATCTGTATAATTAATCAAGCATCTATCAACTTATAATTTGTTAAAAATAAATAAAACTAATTGATCAGCGCTGAAAATCTAATTAAAAAAGTCATAAATGTTTAGGATATTATTATAATACAATTAAATTCTAGGATCTGGAACAATGATATTATTTTTTATTTGAATTATTTATGACGGGTTTGATTCGATTTTCACATTCAACCGTATAATTAATATCTAATTCTATAGCAAATAAGAGGTATTGCCAAATAAAAATGTTTTATCAAGAAGACAATTCGTATCCACAAATTAGCAATGCTGCTAAGCCAAATCAGAAATTTCATTAAACTCCACATATATACCCCTTATTACCTTTAACACTTATTAAGCCGATTATAAATTGTGATTTATTAATATGTTTAAAATCATAGTTAAACTCTCCCATTCCAATAATGAATCTATTAATGAATATATCTGAACTTGAGGGTATTTTTCACTCTTCTAATCAATTAATTTGCTTACAAAGACTTCCAAAAAGGAAGTTGCATTAATTCTCCAAATCAATTTATTATAGCCCTTCTTGTCAATTAAAGAGTATGCTCTTACTTTTTCAACAAAGTTAAAAAGCTTATTAAAAATGCATTAAATGCTATAGGTCGTAAATAAACATTCTGAAAACTTGATTGAATTATTCAAAATATAGAATGGAAAGTCAACAATCCATTCCTCTTATTGTTTTTACCCTTCAATCAAATCACCTAAATATTCATTATATTTATAAAGATCCTAAATTACAATAGATATTGTTTTTCTGCTGTCGTATTATTCAATGAATTCCTTTTAACTTAATTTAATTAAATTCAACTTAACATTCGGTTATTGGAACTTATAGAATTCTGAAAAGATTATTTCCTTTTGATTCTATTTTTGATGTCTCTGTCGCACTTAATAGGTGTTATCAGGTTAAAGTTCAAACATGTATTGAAAATCATCTCTTAATTTCTAATTCTTATTTGTGGAAATTTATTAAGATAAACTTAAAGGTCCCAAAGATTCACCCATTTACGAAGATTGTTATCCTTCTAATACTGGCTATTGTATAGAAGTTTGTTATGATAACTCAATCTGTCTAATTTATTCATGCTGATGAGGAGCAAACAAATCATCGATTTCATATTATCGACCCTTCCCTAATGGTAATGTCAATTCTAATATTTAATTTATGCAATTCTCATTATTTATATCTTCAAAATCAATTGAATTCAAAGCACTTAAATCAAATTTACTTAAATTAACCTACTTATTATTAACAGTTTTAAACTATAATATATTTTCCAACAATACAGGTTACTTATCTAATTTTTGTTTTTGCTCTTACTATTTAAGGAAAGTAAAAAATCGATCAATTTTATCTTAACTTAAAGTGAATTGATTTTCTTCAAATTTCAAGTAGATTTCATAACGTTCAGAACAAGAAGATAACTTTATTTCTCCATCGCCAAAGTAAATCTAAAATCTATTCTTAAGTTATTTGTCATGTCTTCTTTCCATTTAGTAATAGCCCTTCCATGTACATTGCACTTTGAAATTTTCAATAATTGCTTCAATTAACTTTATTTAAATCATGCTTTTGAGAACTACAATTTCCATAACATTATCTTCAAAATTAAGGCTTTCAAAAAAGCGATCCTTCTCAATATTTATAGTGACTTCCGAGAAATCTTTCAAAAATTGCAAGGTATTGTTTGTAAACTTTATCTATGACAAACTTTATTAATTTAATTGTTATTTAAGTAAATCATAGGTTTTCTAAAACAATGGAATTGAAATATATTGCTTTTTGAATAGGTTAGGATCGTAATTGTCTTATTTTATACTATGTAATAACATTAATATGTAGGCTACAGAAGGCTTCATGTATTCTCTTGGTATAGGATGTTCCTCTTCTTGTTCAATCACTTCACCTTCTATAGGCACTCCCCTTTGAGGAATTCTTATATATTGACAGTACATTTTTGAATGATATCTCAAGAAATTGTCAAGTTCAGGAGTACCCTTCAATTTAGCATATAAAATCACGGCTATATCTAAGGTAACCTGTATTGCTTTTAAAACATTCAAAAATAATTGAGGACTAATTTGGCAAATTTCAATAACCAAGTTACTGTTAAGTATTTAAATATTGAAGACAATTTTTAAAGATACTTTGAAATAAGCTTTAGTCTAAATTTTGGATCTAATTCTTGCTTTTTTACTCAGTAATTAATTATATAAACAGATGCTCTGGATATTTATACTTTTCCAAACATTCCCATTTATTTTCACTTAAGGCTAAAGATAACATTGTATTTTTTAATTCAATTTCCGCTTTCAACTTAAATACTGAATTTATGCAAGCCTATTCAAATAAAATTAATTCATTTATTTATTTATCTTTATTGTAAAAACTATTTGATTTTTTAGAAATAATTGATTTCTATTTTGAATTAACATTCTTTTTATCCTTTTTGCCCTTTTTATTCTTCTTTTTCTTTTTTATTGGTTTTTTCTTTTTTTCTCCTTCCTCTTCTCCTTTTCGTTTTCTTTCTCTGATCTCTTTTTCATTTTCCTATACTTCGTCTTTCTTTTTTTTTCTTTCAAATTCAGGCCAATGTAGTTCTTATTATGCCAATGATAACAATTCAAAATACTTTTTATAAAATTATTCTTCTTTTGAGTTTTCTTCTAATTTATCAGGAGGAATCTGACATTTCAGAATATATGGCGAGCTTATCAGCTTCAAGTCATTCTATGTTATGATTCCATCCAAATAGTTCAAAACATAATAGCATTTATTCATTAAAGCAATTTAATAGACCTTATATTCAGTTAAATTAGAAGATAGTTGCAATTGGCTTTTAATTACATCATAAGTTTTTTGCTTACCTATCAAATTTGTTAAAAATGCAAGAAAACATTCCGCAAAAACTTTCTCCATTTTTTTGAAAAATACGTAATATAGTATAGGAATGTTATTGAGTGACAAAAGTTTTTCGTATCCTTATATTCTTCCCTTAATAAAAGAGTTGAAATATTTAATGATATTATTCTCGCATTATTATATTATTAAAATTTAGAATACATTATTTATTAATCCACATTTTATTGGTTCGGCATGTAGATTCAGTGCATAAGTAATTGAGGCATAATTATTGCTCATAATTGCAGCTACTAAATGATTCTATGAAAACTATGATTATTTTGTGATGTGATCATGTCTACCCTTTCTAAGAAATACTTGATTCTTAGTTAATTCATTTGATGTGTATTACAAGTTGTAAAATGTTGTCTTTATTTTTTCAGATTCTTTATAATAATTGAAAATCTCCGAAGAATATGAATTACTTTTTAATAGCTCTACTTATTTAGTTACATAATACAAAGTAGTGCTATTGAATCTAAAGTTTTCTAATTCACTTAAATTCTTTTACAGAAACTTTACACATTTCATATTCTCATGCTATTAACTTAAAATCAGATTAGCAGTTTCATTTTATGACTCATTTCTCAAACTCAATAAAATTTCCAAGAAAAATTACTTCTAAAATGATGTGAATCTTTAAGGAAATTCAAATTCTATTTCTGCTTATTTCAAATTGGCATTAGCATTGTATAAATCAATATAACCCTGTGTTCTCGATGATAAAAAACTGTTAGGAAATCTGTTCTTTTTAAATACTTGCAATAATGTAGCTATAATGGCTTGATTTTTCTCGATTTTTTTATTCTTTGGGTGTAATAAATTGGAGTAATACTCATTAATTGCTATTATTTCTTTAGATTTAACTTTTCTTGGATTAAAATATTTTTACACTATTTCAATGCATTTAAGAAAATCTACTTCCTACCCTCCTGAATTCATAAATAAAGGTGATCGATCTTACATTTAACTTCCAAAACTTTAATTTTGCTAATGATTTAATTTTTATTGTATATTATGTACTTTTTTGACATACTATGTTTTGAGAAGAGATATATTTTTGGATTTGCAAAATTCCTCAACAACCTTTTAAGCCTCCTATTTTAATTCCAGTTTAGTCTTTTTATGTCTCAACTATTTGAATTTTAATTCGTTAGGTTTAAGATCAAAAAATAGATATTTATTAGTATTATTTTAACAGTTTAATTTCCGTTTTCATCCATCTGTTTTACTTTATCTCCATCTGTATCTTAATTATCAAATTTGATAGATAATTCCTCCTCTAAAAAGGATTTCACCATTTGAAAGTATGCTGTACTATATGTTTCAAAACTGAAATCCCCTTACCTAAGTATAAATTATAATTTTTCATGTAGCCCATTTTCAAGGAATAATTATAAATGTTTAGTTTTTTATTCCATAGTCAAAGGTATTTATTTATAAAATTCTTAATACTGAGACAAAGTAAAAACTATGTAATAGGGTTTAGACAAGGCTTTATAATAATTCTCTAAGCCTTCTGGGCATTTTAACGGTGTTTAGTATATTTAATTATCAAGAACTATGGAATTATTCTCACAATAGTGCAATAGTTAATTTAATGATTTGCTTGATTAATTCTTTTTCAAAACCATTCCATAAAGAATATAAACTTAACTTTTCTATAGCTTCATTTAACTTAAATGTTTAAAGGCTAATTGTTCTGAGCGCTAAAATAAAGAGATAAACAATTCTTAAATATAACTAAACTAATACTCCTTAATCTCTTACCTTAAAGAATAATCTAAGATTAAACTGATTAAATCAGGACTATTTGGCAGGTTCTTACTATATATCATTCTTTCGGCTATTTCCTGCATAACTTCCTAGTCTTTTGGGTTACTTAATAAGACATAAAGCCCTTATTCTGTACTATTACTCCATTCATTTATTTGTTAATATATTTATAATCTTGTATAATCTTCTAATCTTAACCAATTTTCATGAGAAATCAATGGTAAAATATTAGTTTAGTAACGTGGTAGAGTTCTATAATACCCATCATCCTCATTTTCATTTTCAGTCCATGGCG